ACGTGCCCAATCAATCGGGCACGCCTTTTTCTTCGCACTCTCTTCACAGCCGCCGAGCGCGATCGTGAGCTTGACTCGAAATCGAGATTGACTCGTCATGTTAACGAGTTGAGTCATGTTACTCATTACTCGACTCGAAAGTTGTTCGAAATCCTTCATATAGTATAATATTTACAAAAAATGAAAAAATTTTGATAAAAAAACTTTTATTTTAGTAAAACATTATGTACGCATTCTAATCATCATATATATACTTCTCAAATGACAAAATTAAAGAGAATGAAGAGATATCATAGTAAATATGGAGTTTTACTAAAGATGGATCAAATTTCAAGCTACTCAAGATCGACTCGACTCGATCAAACTTAATTAAAGCTCGACTCGGTCAAAGCTCAGTCAAAACTCGATTCGATAAAGCTGGACTCGATATGTTAACGACTCGAGTCAAGCTACCCCAAACTCGAACTCGACTCGCATCATAAGCATCCTTACTCAGCGCAATTCGTGTCTCCTCTTCTGATCTTGAATAAACGGTTCAAATACCTCGGTATTCCAAATACCGAGCCCTAAATCACCAACTTGATGACTATATAAAATGGACACAATTCAGTATGACCAAGGGAAGGGCGTAAACCTGTATATAAAATGGACATATCAGTGCATCTATTGAAAAAGTCAAATTATTCGGTCCAGGTAAGTGCATCTATTAAAAAAATATTAGTACATTCAGGCCAGTTTAGCTAAGCACGGACAAACTCAGTTCATGCAACCCATATGTTTAAACCCTAATTCAAACGTTTTATAAGAATCTAAACAAGGTTATAGTAACATTTGTTTTTTAAATTTCCTAATAACCACCTGATTGATTGGTATAACTTCCATTAGTATCTTTCAGTAATATGTGTTCTACGGTCATAATTTTTTAATAAATAGTCAATAATTTCAGCAATGTTGTTGTTAAATGTTCAATTTCAAAATATTGTAAATAATGGGAGGCAATTAAGACCCACATATACTTCTGATAGCACGTGAAGATGTTACTAAGGGCAATCAATTAGATTAAGTGTCTTTTTAGCTATGCTTTTTGTTTTTTTATTTTAATATATACGGTGGGGTCCATATAATCTACCTATAAATATACAACCAACTCATTCAGTAGTGTTCAAAGTAGAGAGCTCCCCTGTTATAAAAATACCAAAATTAAAAAAAAAAACCCTCGTCCAAAAAAGAAACTCCACTATCAGCCATGGCCAATGAACTACCATACCCTCCTGGCTTTTACGGTGAAACACCCCCTCCTAGCCTACACCTGTTCGAACTCACAGACAACCCTACCCAAGAAATGGACTTCAACGACTATGTGTACTTTTATAGTAACACAGGTCGCCTAACTTCAAAGGTTATCCCCGGTGCCATCCTTAGGAGCATCATTGCCGAGCCTGTAGAAAGACAAGCAATGCTAGACAAGTTGATGATGGTTAACGCTGTTGGCGACATTGCCCCTGCCCATTTACCTAACATCGCCGATGTAATCGGCAATGCTGATGTTCAAGCCGCTATTGATAAACTCGACAATGAGGAGGTTCAGTATAGTGGAACAACGCCCCTCATCCCGAAGAAGCTAGCTGATAAAATAGATCCAAAGCCAGAACTTCGTCGAAGTGGTCCGATTTACTCGATTAGAGAAAGATTCAGCCGTGACTTTGGATCCTACACTGATGAGATCTTGTATTTCCAGGTATGGCATCAACGTATTTACTAAATTTCATGTGTAGTACTGATTTTGTTTGCCGTTTATTGTGTTAACAACAGCTTGTCACGTTTCAGGTACGATCCCCCATGACTTGCCTGACTTTCAATGTGGTACGTGACCAATTTATGGATGATGATCCGTCAAGCCGCTACTGCACCGTTGAGCTCCTTTCAAAGGGGGAGGAAGGCAAGCTTACTCTTGAATAAGATGCTAGTGTTGTTATGTGGAATGCACGCCGTATTACTAGACCTTCTTTTAAGCCACATTTCCGCGAGGTGGTTAGTACCCACAACCCTGCTTTGGTTATTGTCACTGAACTTGGAGCCCAAAAAACCAACTGTACAAGGTTCATTGAGTCACTAGGGACCAATATGTGCTGGAGAATGGACCCAGGGTTTGGATTACATGGGGGAAGCGCGGTGTTTTGGGATCCAACGAGGTTTGAAGGTTTGATTCATATCTCTGAATCTGATATTCCGCTTCGAGTCCTGGGTACCATGAGGGCAGTTCCGGTGTGATGGTAACATCAGAGGTATAAGGTAAGTTATTTGTTTTAGTTAGTGCAGAAGTGGTTCTTAAAGCAAGAACAAGGTATGACTTAAGAATATAATCAACTTTTTGATACCATGTTAATCTTTACAGAGGTTGACCATTAAACTAATTGTTGCAGTTCTTTGCTTTTTTTTGTTAATTATTTGTTTTTTCTTTTTTGTAGAAAGGAAGTGGGTAGGTGAAGGCTGGTTGGTATCTGCTTTGAAGCTTTGCGTTCTGTTTCGCTAACTCATTCGTCCGTACTGTGTGTTATTTGCTAATTTGTGTTTGTTTATTTAAAATCAGTTTGAAATGCCTAGGCTGTAGGCTTCTATGTTAAGGAGGCATCTAGTTACATGCCTTAATTATGTACTCGGTCTGTAGTAATTATGCACTGCGGGTGTATCGTATTTTTGGACTGTAATGTATTGAATCATGTGTATTCGAACTACTAAATTAATGTTACGTGTGCTGTTTCTACTTTTGTAACGTGTGCTAAATGAATGTTACAATTAAATAAGTAATCTTACCCAATCCGTCAAGTAAGAACTGCAATCAATTATATAACAAAAATTGATATACGCATAAATGTCTGGAAATGGATATAATTAACTAATATATAATAGGCTTACAGAAAAGGTTCAATGTAATGGAAAACAATTAAAATATTAAATTACCAACTGTTATAAAAGTGTACATTGGAAGTAATTTAATTACCAACTGTTATACATGTAATACAAAAAGAAGATAATTCGCACACGTTGACATATGATGTTGTATAAATAAATGAATAAGGTGGACCCCACATTAAAGAAGAACAAAGATGACTCACGAGAAAATATTAACAAATTCAGTCCCTTATAATATACGTAATTTTAGAGGATATGAATGACAAAAACTTGTTTCCAGTTCATATTTGCATTATGATAATTAGCACAACTAAGAACATTATTTAGCACATTTACAATAAAGGGACATTAATTACAGAGTACACTATGAAAGACTACATTCCGACTAAGGCCATCAAGTAATTATCACATTTTGCGGTTAGCTATCCCATATGATTAAAGGTGATACGAACGTACGAAATTTGTAAGCTCAATAATGCAGAAAAAAGGATAATTAGGATACTAAGTTCCACGTGTAAATTAGTTGTGTATAAAGTGTAGTTACCACAAATCACTAAAAAACCATATTTAAATTTAAAAAATGATTTTACCCAATCTACCCCTGATGCTTCTTCATGCTGGCTAGATTGAAGGAGCACTAATAAGGAAACACAGTAACAATAAATGGCGGGAATGTTGGTGGGAATGTAAAGAATTTTTGGCGGGAAATACACCACCTAATATAAATAGAAGGGTCAGGGATATGTAAACTGAGTGTCGCCTCTTTCTGATAGAAATGGGACTTGATGAAATACCAGTCCCTGTGAAATGTATAAGGAGTGTTGATCCAAATAGGTCAATCATGACTCTCATGGCAGATAAAGAAAAATTTATTTGCAACACCAAAAAACCAATCCCATTAATGATAATAAACACCAACTCCTTGTAGATTCAAAAGAGACTACCACAGCCAATAGGGGGTAACAGCTTCCATGGAAGGGGGTTCTTAGGTGAGATAAAATCGTACATGCTTGGCTATGGTGGTGCAGTGCCAACTCAACTCATTCGAGCACAGGACGTTGTAGCTAACATTGCCGAAGGTACAAGATGGAAGGGGGACCTGCTGGTAATAAGAAAGGGTAACAAGGTCACACCAGCACATGTACATGACTTATCAGACCTGGCCTTGCTACCAGCAGCGTTAAAAATTGCAATTCGTTGGGTTCTTCAAACCGAAGGCGGTGCAAGCGGTGACGGGTACGAGCATGTTATACCAAAGATAATTAAAAATATCGTAGACCCATGCTCTGTCCTGCCACGCTTGCGAGAATGCTGCAGCCTAACCAATGGAAATCACCAACTACATACATACAGCGACTCAAAACACATCAAGCTAATCAACGTACGGGGTCGTTTTATGGTTAAAAGACTATCTTTTGTTTCTAAGTTGGTTACAAGCGACCCGTTAGATGGAAGAAAAATTACTACAACATTCCAAGTTGAAGGCTCAGCCACAGAAAACAACTGTCATAGGATCGTGGCATGGAATTGTCGTGACATGGCACGAAAAACATTTATGGGGAATTTCAAACACATTGTTTCAGTTCACCTGCCTGACACTCTAATTCTAACTGAGACTAGGGTGTCAATTAACATGGCCAGAGTTATATGTCAAGGCTATGGTCGATATATCATTGGGAGGTCAGAGAGTGGTCCTATTGGAGGGTTCGTTCTTATCATATTCAGCAGGAGCACACGGCTACATCTTCAGGAACAACAACAGACCAGATCTACCTGGCTATTTCATCATATTTAGATAATCGTCTTTAATCAAACATAGTTTAAGCTAATTGATCATGTTTAGTGTATGACCTTTTCAACTCATGTTTAGTGTTTCACCTTTTGAAATCAGCTCACCATGGGTTTAAGCATTAATCTGGTTCACCATGTGTAACATTTTCCTGTACCAGCCACTGGTGCCACACCACCATTTTGTAATCAGGATCAGTTATGGACACAAATTGTGGACCACATAAAGTTATTCAGTCTATTAAGTCGTTTATTATTTTATGGGCCAGCCTAGTAAGTCATTGTGTATTTTAAACTCAGTTGGGCCTATTAACATAAGTGTATGTGTATTTGTATTTAGGCGTTTTGGTCCAAATATAGTTATTTCATGCGCCAGTGTATGAAGTCATTGGATATTTTAAACTCAATTGAGCCTCTTAATATAGATTTATGGGTATCATTAAATCAAGTACATATATTTCCTTGTTGGATCTAAAGATTGTTAAGTTCTGCAAAAAAAAAAAAAAACGGTTTGGCATACATAAAACAACAGCAAATACAACAACCATCTATCTCTATTAAGCTTACACGAAAGTGAATCACATAAATAATAAGTAGAGTGCAGAAGCACAAACATAACTGATTAAATAACACATAAAGACTTGGGAAAATTTGGCAATAATTATTTTCAGACCATGGCCACTAACCAAGTTCAAGTAAAGTCCCTTATTACACAATACATGCAGAAAATTTATTACACACAACACAAACATACAGAACATAGAACAAAACTGTGGACAGAGTTTATTGGATTGAAAATTAACAAATTTAAAGGACAAGAGTAATACTCTCATGGGGATATGGATTTCATCTGCATAGAACCCTTATAAGAAGTCGTTCTACCCCTCCTCTTTCGATACATAAATCCTACTCCAGGTTGTGGCAGTTCCTATACACAGTCATATATGAATTGTCAACTACAAAAATTTGCAGCAGTAACAACATATGCAAAACCAACAGCAACCCTTACCTTAACTAATTCACTTTGGTCAGGTCCTTCAGTATCCCTCACATCTCTAGGATGCTTTTCACCATAGGCTACATCCAACACCTAATACATGTAGACCAATTACCACATATCAAATCAACTACGGTTATAACTACAACAAGGATTAATTTCAAATGAATTCACACAAACAATTGCCCCTAATTTTCCAAAGTCCCCAGAACATAACTTATCACACTTAGCTGCCTTCCCAATCTGTTGCATGTTCCATACCTTAATTCTAGGAAAGGCATCCCACTCAACCGGATCCCTATCCAACCGATCCAAATAAAAAATCTGAAACCACAAAGACTTTAGTGAGAATACAAAACAATTAAACGATTGGTAAGAGGAAAGCCACTAAAGATATGAAAGTTATACAACAGCAAATATTGCACATCCACCGCAGCCACCAGCTACCCCAGTTGCGTAGAACCGTCGCACAAAACTAGTCACACTATCCATGAATTTGGACAACACCAACCCACACCAGTCATACTCAGCCGCATCCATTGCACAACTTATTGCGGGAAGAAGATTACCCGCAAGCCTGGGACTCTGCGTTGGGCACAACACCATCTCCAGCGCCACTATCAAAAACAATGTCTTGAAATCCTCCTCCTCATCTTCCCCAAAATATCGCTCTAAACGATCCATCATCTCCCCGGTAACTGGTATCCCTACAGATGTGTACACCCGCCCACTAGGTTTGCTAGACTTGGACTCCCAAGATTTTCCATAGGTCAATAGAATGTTCTGCACTTTCTCCCGACACTCTTCAGTCATAGTTTTTGAGGACGACACATCTCTTGAACCATTAGGAATGCCTAACACCCACCGCACTTGGTTTTTGGAAAACTTAAACTCCCTACCAGAAGTGACCAACTTCTGGCTTATCGAGTCTATCCGGGTCATCAGCCAGTAAGACAACATTCTTGGTAAATGCATGTCAAACGCTAGATGGAGCAGCCCACCAAAACCCATTTCAATTACCCAGCGTTTCCTACGGTCATCGAATTTCTGGCATATGCGACCAAAAGATTCGATTCTGCATTTCATATTTGGGGGCTGCCAACATAATCACATCAAATTACACCCAAATAGTGAATATATGTACGACACATGAAGCTCATTTTTCACTTACCCTGCTACAACAATTGCTTCGCCACGCAATCACCTCTGATCTGGCTTTCATACATCCGCCAAAACTTATGCTGTCATCCTGCAATGTAGCCGGTAATACAGGAAAAATACATGACTTTCATTGTTCTACCAACATATAAATCTAAGATTCATAACAATAACATATAAGATATAATAGTACAAACCTTAAAGAGATTGGGGTGCAGGGTGATTGTCTTCTGCATACACTTTTCGACAGACACCTCCCCGGATTCCTACAATAACACAGTCAGGTTCACTAGATATACACTAAAAACAGCCACCCCACAAAAGAAAACCATTCATACCTTGTCATTCTTCATGTCCGACACCTCACCACCATCCTAACCAAAAAAGGACCATAAACATAAATCAGAGTCCCCCAAAAAACAAGACAACTCAAATAAAAGGGAGAACCCATATGCTCACCAGGTATTCATCACATACCCTACGCTTTCGCTTACCAGGGTACCTTTCTAAGGACATCGATATAATTTATGGAGCCAGCGCACAGATTAAAAACCATGTGGAAGATTCTTCATTGCTCTTTGATCAACAATTATCAATTACATAATATTATCTAATTGCCTACTTCCAAATAAACACATTACTTTAATGTACACACCCGCCTCCCAGACATGTGTTCATGCTCAAATCACAACCATTATTACTCAACTAACACCAATTAAACTGAAATAACTACCAAATAAACTCAATTCAACACCAGATAACTACCTATTACACTCACATAAATACAAATCATCATGCAACAATGAAGGAATATACCTAAATGCATAATTCCAAATAAACCACATTGCCTAATTCCAAAGAAACCACATTGCATAATTACACGAAAACTATTTTAATCAACACGGGTTCAATGCAGTTTCGAAACCAAATTCATCACCTGAATCGACAGTACAGCCAGACTCTCATTCAATAATACCCTATTTCGTCACGATTTTGAACAACAACCCAATTCAACACAACCCTATTTCAAAAATACCCTAATTCAGCTATAGTAATACGCTTATTTCTTTAACATCAACATACCGCATACATCAAACACTGAATAATAAAACCACACATAAGAACACGAACAAACCTGAATTCACCGGGCATAGAACACTATGCGACCTGAATTTACCGACCGAAAAAATGCCTCCACATCTGCGTCCCTACCGCCGTAAACGTCCACAGATCCCAGGTTACAACAAATCGCGGTGGTTGCAAACGCGGGTCCAGATATCCCAGGTTGAGTTCTGCAAAACTCCGCCACAGCAGTCGCCGTTGTGGGTTTCTTAAGGTTCTGGAGAACCTAGATTCAGTTCTGCAGGGGAACTCATCACTTCTCAAAGGGGTGGGCTTAAAAAAAAAAAAATAACAAAAAATTAAATTGAAATAGTTACGTGTCAGGGTAAAAAATTAAGAAGTTAATTACAAACTGTTACTGTGGCTTGATAAAAAATTAAAAAATAAAACATATAACGTTCGTCAATTTCGAGGAGTTTCCAAACTAACGGCTGTTTCCACTTAAGAGCTTGCAGCCGAGGGTAAAAGTCACTTATACCCTTAAAATCCATGCAAATTGGACGAAATTACCCTCAAGAGAAACACTCCATGTTTCTCAAAGATAGAAACTTGGAATTACCCTTAAAACAAAGTGTTGTAAACCTCTCAAAATATTTTCTTCTATAAGCATCTCTCATATTTTTTATGCTGGTGATGTGTTTTTCATTGGTCAAGCTTCCTCAAGCAATATTAAGGAAATGATGGACGTTTTGAATCATTTTCCCTAATAAGATGTGTCATTGTATAATTAGGGAGCTAGGGAATCAGTTTAATCTTAACTTTTCCTCAACCTTTGGGAAATATTTATGAATCGAGACAAGTCCTAATAAGCTCAAAGTTGCTCATTATCTTTCTCTTCTTGATAAAACCATGAATTGGATTAAAGGTTGGCAATCTAAAATGTTGAGTCTTGCTGGTAGAAACACTTTAATCAAATAAGTGCTAAACTCTTATCCTTTCTATCATATGCATACCAATCTTTTTCCGGTTTCTATCACTTCCTTTATTGATAAAAGATGCAGAAAATTCTTGTGGAATAAGGTGGATAATATCCACTATTCTCCAAGAACTAGATGGTCTCACATAACTAAACCAATTGCAATTAGAGGTTTGGGTATAAGAAGACATAGAGAGTGGAATTTAGCCTTCATGGCTAAATTAGGTTGGACTATTTTGACTAATCCTGAGAAATTGTGGGTTAGAATTCTTATAGATAAAAACATGAAAAAATATGCCTCTTTTTATATTTTTTTTTATTTTTTTATTGTATTGCTAACAACTCTTAGTCTCCAATTTGGAGAGACATTTTAAAGGGAAGGAATTTGCTTTCTTCTAGTTGAAGGTTGGAATTGGTATTGGGAAGACAACCGCCCTCTAGTATCATCACTGGGTGGCTGAGAAACCTCTTTACCTTTACCTTGACAGAGATGTTCTTGACTCAAAAATTCATTGGTTTGTTTGAGATATTATTAGGAGTGGGAAGTGGTGTCTTGATTTTATTGTTCATCTTCTCCCTCAGGCTATAATTGATTTAATTCTGACTACCGTTATTTCCAATTCTGCAGTAATGAGAATTTTATTAATTGGACACTAACTAATAATGGAATGTTTTTCTATTAAGTCAGCTTACCGTTTTTTAATCAAGGATAATTGCATCAATTCTGGCTTCTTATCATGGAAAAAGCTTTGGAAAATTCATGTTCCAGCCAAATATAGAATGTTACTTTGGAATTGTATGTCCTATGTTCTTCATGTTGTTGAGAAAATTTCTCTTTCTTACCAAAGATTGATCCTTATGCTCTAGATGTGGTTTGTATAATGAGTCTCATTTACATATGTTTAGAGATTGCTTCTGCTCTCACAGTTTGTGGAATGATATTTATGCCAATGTCACTCTGCCTAGAGGTTTTAACTTTGTTAAGTTAATAACTCTAGATTGGATTGACTGCCTCAATTTCAACTTGAGTTTTTCTGCACATTGGATAATGGTTTTTGCTACTGCTTTTTGGCATATTTGGAGAAATAGAAACATAGCTGTTTTTGAGCTCAAAATGTTTCATGACATGCTATTTATGCTTGTTTTCTCCATGATTATCAATGTTCTAATAAGCTGTTGCAGGGAAAGGGTAAAGAGGGTGCTTCTTATACTACCACTACATTTGCTACTACTGTTAATGAGAGTGGTTCTTCTGGCTCAAGCTATGCAAGCTGTCAAGGAAAAGGAAAGATTTATGCTTCCACAGTTACTATTTCTACCCCAAGTGTTGTAACACTCCCAATTTACTAACTAATAATAGCAATAAATAAAGGAAAAATAGACAACCTTTAAATAAAATTGCGGAATCATACGCCTAAATCGGAGGTATTACTGCCATACTCGACAACTTGTCAAGTGCTAAGGCTTACAAAATCTCAATAATTACAACCCAATAAACTAGGGGAGCTATTTATACAACTTTACAAACTCATTTTACCATATTAATTGAAAAACTTGAGCTCCTTTAGCTACGATCACTTGGTTAACCTGCTTATACAAACTTGACTGCTCACCATTAAGGACAAATTCCAAAATAGATCGTCGCAGGGCCTCCATAAGAAAAAGACATGGCTGCAAACACAAGTAACAGAACAAACAAACACACACACGTCAGCAAAAAGGTAAGTAATCACCACTTATCAAATATATAATGAAGTAAAATAATATTTAATAATATAATTAGCTCACCGACTATGTAGTTCGAAACTACATTCACCAAAATATCAAACTAAATACGACACTCCACATAACTAACCTTGATAAAATCCCACCTCAAAAATAATAATATGATACTCTACTCAATTATCTCATCTAACCAATAAGTGTGCCACGCTCTTTGTTTTATACATAGCCTTGGACATGAGTAATTCGAATAACAAACCAACAAGTATAAAAACTTGAATACTCTCAATAACTAGAAAATACCTTGAACCAGACCACATTCGGGCCCATTCCCACTGTAGGGGACCATAAAAAAATATAAATAATAAAGATTGTATCTCATCCTTAACTCATGATTTGATTATGATCTCCTTACCAACATGCCAAGGACTAAGGTATATAACGCTGAGCCTCAAATCAAGAATAAAATATAATAATTCTAAACCTTTTGATCTCATGCTTGATCAAATAACCATTCACGAGTTAATTGATAATTTCTCAATAATAGCACATGTTCCCCAATAACATAACAACTCGATTCATAAATATCTCAACTTTTAGGGCAATAATACTAGCACCTAAAATAATTAAATCTCAACCCGATAATAATACTCCGCATTAGCAACCCTGTAACCTTAATAAAACAATGCTCCCTATAGCAACAACATTAAAAACCCTAGAAAAATAACACAATCAATCAATACCACAAAAACAATACGACAAATAGAATCATATTATACCACACACTATTCATGGATATATATAAATCATGAACATATATAATTCAAAAATTATAAAATTTACACATAACAATATGGAGTACAATTAATACTAACAATTTATAATCAAACAATTCCAAAAATCAATTAAGGCCGTGTGATTACATATAATAAATAATATAATTAAATTATAAACAAATAACTCTAAAATATTGATAGTGTGATTACTTTTTCGACGAATACCAAAACAATGAAACATTTGAGAACCAAATATGAAACTATTACTCTAGCACTCCAAGTAGAATAACACGTTGTAGACACCTAAAAATGTCTCCCCGAAACCAAACCCGATGATGAACAATCTTTCACCGCCATTATTAGTCGGGTTCAATATTTAATCCCGAGAGTGCTTAAAATTCATATTTAATTAATTTCAGTTCATAAAATAGTCAACATATCAGTCTTAATGTTTAGACAAATCATAGTTCAATTTTTATTTTGGCCCAAACCTTTTTATTCATTTTCATTATTTATTATTTTAGCCCAGTTAATAAATAATAAACCTAAAATAGCTCGAAATTATGAATCGACACTTAAAAAGGCTGAACGTAATTAGGGTAGAAATGTATTTGGATCGAAAATAGGAAGCAGAGCCTGCCGCGTCACGACAAACTGTGCCGCGTCACGGGAAATATTGCTGCGCCACAACACATTCTCCTGTGACACGGGACAGCTCCGTGTCTTTTCTGTGTAAACCCTTCACGCGTTTTAACTCCTGTAGGTTAATTATTTCTCGCGTCACACAAGAATTTCCTGTGTCACAGTATAATTTGCCGTGTCAAGGAATTATTTGCCATGTCGCGGCAGTGCTTTTAGGATTTTTATCCTTTTTAGGGTTCCGTGTGTTCCCTCTACTCATTTTCTCTATAAATACCCCCTCATTTTTTAAGTATGGGTCATCAAATAATTCTCTCTTCTCTCTTCT